CTTCATACTCAGTTGACCCTTGCGCGTCCACAAAGGCCCTTAAAAATTCAAGTATCTCAACTCGGAATGATGAATTCCAACGCCTATCGACGACAAACTTGTCCTAGTCCCGCGTCAAAAAGATATAACTTGGAGAAGGGGTCTTCAATGTCACATTCTCCAACCCACAGTGGAGACGACTGAGTGTGGGGAGACCCGCGTGGACCCCGGCCGTGACCCCCAGACATCCCACTGCGTCTCCCTTCATGGGCGCAGTTAGTATGCTCACCCTGAACAATGGCGCGGAGAGCCAGTCAAATGTCTCCGACCACCGCGGACAGATCCGCATGCAATCTGACGATCCATCATCTTGAACTGGCGGCCAAACCCTTCGTACTGGTGGCTCAGGTTGTCAATGGCGGCGTCACGCCTGTCGTCTACAACATCTTGTCTCCGTGGCAGCATCATTGGTCGTGGCTGGTCACTGATACCAACTGATGTAGCGCATCATACGAATGAAATAAAGGAAAGAGATTTCAATCTCAAATACATGTCTTTTCTTATTCAACTATCAATTGTCTTGAAACAATTGAGAATGAGTCTTTAAATAAGACTCCTAAAAACTCTAAATTCCTAGCTTGCCCAACAAGACAAGGATTTTGAATAATAATAATAATAATAATAATAATAATAATAATAATAGTAAAAAAAATAATCTACCAAATATATGAAGTAAATAAGAGAAATAATAAAAATAACAATAAATATTTAAGCTATCTCTCTCCATCAAAATATGATAACAAAATAATGTAATTAGTACTTAAAAGAAATTGAAAAAATTATTGCCGAGCCCACCTAGGAGCGACTAGGTCTTCCTATGCCCGCTTAGCCGTCGTGCCCGCCAGTCCCTCCTAAGAGTGTCTAAGGCCACCTAGGTCTGTCTAGGTGCCGACTAGCCGCCTAGTTAGTACAGTGATCCTAAGTAGTCAGTTGACCTCATTAATTTCCAAACTTTATCCCAATCCCTCATAAATTAGTACGAATAATGGTAATGTGTGTGTGTATTTTTTTTAATATATATATATATATATATATATATATATATATTTACATTGATACGTTATTATATAAAATAAATATAAATAAAAAATAATATATATATTTACATTGATACGTTATTCACCGACGGAGGCCTTCTTCCCCGGCGAGTTCGGAGCTCGGGACGACATATGGGCTGAAGGTGAGCGACTGGGCAGGAAAGAGTGGCTTCCTCCATTGGTCGATTGGTTTTTGGCCTTGGCGGGGAGGTGTTACTGCGAACGTCTGGTCGGGATTCTCTCGGAGGCGAGTGCCGACGACTTCTATTGACAGTTAACTCTCAAATTGGAGGCCCTGGACTTCTTTCAGTTTCAGTCCCTCTTTTTGTGTTGAGGCGGCTGGAACCTCCTGCGAGTGCGGCGACCGATTCTTTCGTCGTGGCTGTGGTCGCGGGATACACGGGGAGGAGGTTGGGGTGTCAGTTTTCTAGTGTTGTTCCAGTGGTGGTCATTCAGGAAGTTGTCGAGCCGATGATTGGTCCAGATCTAGTTAGCCATTAGGGAGTTTCTAGATCTGTGTGTGGGCCGTGGGCTAGATCTTCTTGGTCGATTATCTTACGCTCTGTGCTTGTTTGGGGCATCTGGAAGTGGCTCGACAGTTGGTGAAGAGGACATTATTTATTTTTTTTCTAGCTATTAGGTTTTTCTTGTGTTTTTATCTGTTTTGTTCTCTCGTTTAGTGTGTTGCTTGTTTAGGATCCGTGTCTTTGGTTTGGACCGTTGACCCCTATGAGCCCGAGTATGAGAGGGCATTACTCCGTCGGGGGTCGTTTCACATTACTCCGTTGGGGCCTGTTTCTCATTACTCCGTTGAGGGTCGTTTCACATTACTCCGTTGGAGGCCGTTTCTCATTATTCCGTTGGGGCCGTCTTAGTTAGGTCTTTGTGATGTGTTGTTTTGAGTTGTTTTCTAGCGTTGCTAGGCTGGCTTTAGGCGGTCTTCTAACCTGTCCTCCCAGTTTTTCGGCTGTTGGCTGTACCACTCAGCTTGGAGTTGTGTACTTTGCACATTTGTGCGTTTCTATTTATATTAATCTCTATCGTTTCGTTAAAAAAAAAAAAGAAAACCTGACAATTAGACTACCTATTACAATAATTTGTTTAAAGTAAATAATTTTTTACAAGATGATATGAGATAGATTATCTCACGACATTGCTTAGAGCCTGTACTCGATTTGGGCAGGCTATTGTGAACTGATCGACGGTCAGAAAGTTCAAATTTACAGTGATTCGGTTAAAAACTCAGACGACTCTTGTACATTGACCCAACTAGGTCAATAGTCTTTCTAAATAACATTTTAAATATTTAAAGTTAAAACTTTAAAATTATGGTATATATATATTTAATAAAAAAATATTTATGATGATATACAATATTCTTAAATTTTTAAGTATAAAATTCTACTATAAATTATTTATTCATT